GTGAACATCAAAATTCAGTGTGTATCTTTCGTTTATCTTTTTTAACCCTTTGAATGTGGATGGCAAAAATTCATGCCATGTCCATTGTAATTTTAGTTTATTAATTGTGTTTACACAGAATGGCTTCATGAGTGGTTAGTCACCACGGAGTCAGCTATTAGTCCTACCTATCTCACTTGTTTACCCTCTTTCTTGAGTTTTGGAAAGATCCATTTTTACATTAACTATTTTTGCCATTAGTATTTTAATCACATTACATTACTCATAATGGCAATTATTATAATAACCATGTCAATATTAATAGCATCAAAATTTTAAAAACAAGCAAAAAATTTCCCACAAATTCTAAAAATGGAGAAATCCACATGGTCACAAGGGCCTCGTAAGTGACACCATGGTGGCTGAGTACTTGTGGAACCATCTGTGTGCAACAAAATTCACAAAAACTACAGTGGACAGTACATAAACCCATAGCAAATGGGTTAATGGAACAGGTCATCTTTTATTGAACCAAGATACATTGTATCTATTTATTGTTAAAAGTTTAAAAGACAATACCTACAATGGATCACACCTATGTTCTTTGTGTAAATTCTCATGGAACAGAAGCAAAATCCCTTCACATGAATCATCATCTAAGCTGCTTTCATTGCCTCAAATGGGTGTATCTGCCAAAGATGTTCATGACTAGCCAATAAAATTATCATTGTGAGTTTATTTGAGAAATCAATTTTATTAGTATCTAGTTTTTATAATGTACGTCTCCTAATCGGTTCCCTTCCATTTCATTATCGCTCACTTTACTATCACTCTCTCTATATTCACCTCTTTCTACTGGTCTCTGTCTGTTCTTTCTGTCTGTGATACTTCACATCCTCTCTTCGTCATGCTCGTTAAGCTCTGTGCAGCATCTTATAATTCTATACAATAGCTTATATACTCGCTCCATCGTCTCACTATCTTTCTCCTTCTAGGTCTCCTCTCTCTATATTTTATACTCTTCATATTCAAGGCTCATGTATGATCAGTGGGGCAAATGCAAATGGGATGCATAGTTTAGTAATATTCACTATACTACTATTTTGTTCACCAAAGAGGTGTACTACTCATTACATTATGGTATAATAGCCATTCCCTAGTAAGGTCACTTATGGTCCATTACTCTTATACTTCTGATATCTATTACATTTATATAATTCAAGCACACCTTCTAAGCTTATATAATAAAAGTATCTACTCATAGTGATCCTTCACCACCTGTATTTATCTAGCACGGACTCGTAGTAAGCATTTTGTATAAATTGGGTTTATCATTGACGACATTGGTATGGCAGAAACAAGCGCGCGTGGGCAGCATTTTATTACTCATCTTCTTATTGTATGATTTATAGGAGTTGATGGTGATGGGCATTTATCAGGCCAATTAATTTTGCCATGCATGCATAATGGGTCCAAGGGAGTAGACCATGACGTTGGTAGGTGGTCAATGTAGGAATTAAGTTCACCTTCACGCTGCACGCATAATTGGAATCATAGATTCGTCTAGGACGTGACGTGCGTTGATTGAGTTTTCGAGGGTGGTTTAGGGGAACACCGTCATTCTTTGACCATATTTTAAACCACCTTGATGATATGGGTTTTATCAATTGTAGGCGATTTCAAAGGTATGTGGTTCTGCCGAAAAGCTTACAACGCGCCACATACGGTGGCATCGGAGAAATGCATAATTATTAATTTTAATGTCTTTAATATAAGTTCCTTATGGTTCACATGACTACTTCACATATTCTTATATTCAATCATATATTAATATTATATTTATCATTATCAGAGTGGCTCAGGGCACTACAATTATCAACCAATTCATATAACGTTTATTCTGTATATGCTTTGGGTAGGCTACAAAGATCTAATATTTATGTTCCTAGCGTTACTTTTTAACTACATGAGAGTATAATTGTTATTGTTCTATAAACTTTCAGATGCGAGCTTGTCTTATCTCGTTATATTTTCCAGATAGGTAGCTGTTACTGGTCTTTTGATATTTGCAGCTTTTATCCAGGTAATGTAGTTATATGCAGTCATGGTACGCTCCACTCGTATCACGATAGAATCATTCCTGTAATAGATAGTTAATAAGACCATCCAAGATGACAGGTAAGAAGTAAGATGAGGAAGGGATAAAGAGGTGTGCAGGTAGTGCGCAAGATGTATAGTGGAGGGTGCAAATCAAGAGAGAATTTAGTGCGGTATAAGTAGGGACTTTGTAATGTGGTGAAATGAAGTGCAGAACATCGCGTAGTAATACAACCTGTGCACAGAGACCGAGGTGGACGATGGGAAGAGAAGTAGATGAGAGTGAGTGCTAGATACATTGGATCAGATGACTAATTTCACCTCTCGCACTCAGGAAGCTGAGCACTCTCTCGCTCATATCCCAATAATCTATAACGCACGGACACCACGTGATACAAGAAAACGAGAATATATTTTATCACCTCCCCACTAATTTTATATTCGTGTTATTAGGAGAGTGGATGTCAAAGCAAAAACAAAACGCTGTTTAGAAAATGGTAAGAGGGAAAGATAGGAATACGTCATATCCCAACAGGCTAAGATTTTATGGCTCAAAATTTGGCGAATGCATATTTATGTTACGCCTCGCACACTCTAATATCAGGAATCTGGCCTTAGAATGACATTATTGACGGCAAGAATCAGCACTTCAGGACGGAGGTGGTCGGACACGCAGCCTAATGAGTAGGTGTTGCAAATTCCTGGTATCACATTAATCACAGATCAGTGATACATTAATTTAATCACCTGATTTTTAGACTGCGTTACCTGAAATAGATCAGATTTTGTATACCGATGGACTGGTGGATAGCTCCTACAAAAGTAAACACACATTCGTGAGCCGCAGGACTTTACTAATAGGTAAGCGGCATTACTATAGATACATTATTGCTAACTTAGTTAAGCCACCTATAGCTTACCCTATATACTCGTTAAGAGAAGTATACAGCTACACATTCCCTATACTAATTCTCCATCTTAAATTGTTTATAAAGACTATTCCCGTCACATTTAAGCATGGTTGAGATAGATTTTAGATAGGGATGAGAGGACTCCAAAAGGAGCAGAATACGGATTTCCAAGGCTGATGACCCCCTCATATGCTGGACAGATAAGTGGTCTGTCTGCAACAGTTAAGAGAGATCAAAATCACCACATACATAAAATCTGACGTCCCCACAGACCACACCGCACAATGAAGGGCGAGGCGCACACATCTGCGAGTCACAATCGCTACGTATATAGTCCCCCCCCTCCAAAAATCTTGCCCACCCTTGCCGAATCAATGAACCACGCTTAAATTCAAATGAAACTGGCCCGGCCGACATACTCTCCTAATTTGCAATTCAATTAAGCTTTGAATTCAAGGGTTAGATCTAAGACCCCTCAAAGCATTTAAATTCACTCCCCAAACACAACGTGGCTCCCTTCGCCAGAATCTCAAAGCTAACAATCCACTCGTATCAATTATTCACACTTGATATCTTATACACACAAACATTTCAACATACTATACCCACCCATCCATCACCCATTACCCACACACACACACACACACATACCCACACACACTTCACAATTACCACACACACTCACATACCCACACACACACACATACACACACAACCCACACACACACACATACACACACACACCACAACACACACACACCACACACACACATACCCACATACCCACACACAGTGCTGTTCAATGGTATACCTGTCTGAGAGCAAAAATTGCATATTTCATCCATCAGAAGTTACTTGTCTACCTGGCCACCTATTTTGGGTAGCACTGAGTTTGGTGACTGGTTGGAGAATCATTGTCTGACAAATGATTGACAAATTTGAAAGAGGACTATGGGCTAACTGCATTTGGAAGCTAATGATCAAAATTCAATGGTAGATGTATCCACTTGTGGCACTCATTTACGTAAAATTGATTCTGCAGTGAAAGGGCTGACATACTAAATGGAATGACCTGCTTTCCCTTGGTGTTGGGTCTATGTCGATATTGTGTGCTTGCATTTTAAAATACTACCAATTCTGTAAAAAATAAAAAAATACTAATGGAATGTAACCAGCTTTTGTAGAATTTACTGTCATATAACACAGATAGGTAGTTGCCACCTCAGTGAGTGTTTTCTTAATAGGAAAGTTTGTTCATTAAAAAAAGAAAAGCACAGTTACTAATTTTTTTACCTAAAGGATTTGAAATACTGCTACAGTGAAAAAGGAAACAAAATCTGCAACAGGTTGATTCAAACTAGTATACTCTTCCTCGAGTGGAACACCAAAAAGCTGCAGCTGAGGAGTATATATATTTGCTTTCTTGCTTTCTTACTATAGCAATATTTCATCTCATGCATATATACATACATACATACATTTATTTACACACATACATACAGAAAGACAGACACACACACACAAGAAATTCATGTACAGTAAATCTTGCATTTGGAAAGTAACTGGTATCCTGAAAAACCTTGCCAAATGCAAATAATAAAACTTGAAAAAAATCTAATTGGTTCCTGGGGCAACAGAGGTTGTCTGCAGTTTTGCTTGTTTGGCATTAAATGCTGCTTTTTTGGAGTATCAGATGTAGATGTCTTGATGAAAGTATGGGGAACAAATGAGAAATCTTGTGCAAGAGAGAAGCTTTTGCTGACAGTCTGTTTCTAAGAATTGCAGTTCAGTTACCTTTTTTTGTCTTGTATTCTGTACCTTGTAAACTTCCCTCCCTTGCAGTGTCAGCCATTTGCTAGCTCACTCCTTCCACATATTAACACTACAATTTATATGTGGCTATGTGAATGTCTACCTGTTACCACACACACACTGGGCACTACTGATACATGTCTGTGTGCTTTGTGAGATTATTTAATGTACTTGATGAAGGGTGGTGGGGGAAAATAAGTCAAATTCAGTTTCAGCAGAAGTATCTTTTTGAGTTGCCAGATGTGAGGCTTTGCTGTTTACATACATATATACACATCTCCATGAAACCATCACCACACACACTCACACTTCTACACAAGCCTCTGTATACACTTGTACACTAAATAACAATTACTTTGAACCATATAATTAAAATCCTCATTTTGTATTTCTAAATACTAACATTAAAGAATTATTTTTTAAGAATGTATATATTTAAGAATGTGTATGTTCAGTGATATATACAAATCCCCATATTTAATGCTATTATGTGACAAAAAAGTACTCAAGTTTGGTCATTCCTGACATGATTTTTCAATACTTGATTTTCTTATGATTTCATTGCTATGTCTACAATGTCATTATAGATGTCTGCATCCATGGAGTTAGAAGGCTTTCTCCAGACTCAGATGTCACTACCTCAGAAAATATTACTAATTAAGAATTAAAATAAAATGTTAGCCAAAAACTGGAAATAAGAACAGCATTACAGCATTCTGTAAAGAGTGTCAATGATTGAGGTGTAGGCCTGTGTAGGCTAGTCTACCAGGTTTCATCTGTCAATATTTTTTATCATCTTCACCCAACAAGTTAATACTTTTCAGTGCTTCACTGT